ATATAAATTAATTAAAAATATATATTTATTAAATTTTTAACTTATGCTACAATGGTACATATTAAAAAAATCTTAAAAATAAACCATTAAAAAGATGATATAAGATGCATGGCTACCGCCATTACTATTTTAGTATTTAATTATAAATTTCACAGGTGTTTGAACTCGAATGTTGCATTCAAGCCCTCTTGTCTTTTTGTAATTAAAAATCTTCTATTATTTGCAAAGAGAAAATTAGCCGTGGAATCATCTTATTTTTATTTTATTTAATTTTTTTAAGAGGAAACAATTTGGTGAGTGGGAAAACCTGCGCGGTGGCTCATTGCCTAGACTTTATTCATATTTTTTTGATGAATCATCGACATTATACAGTACGAAATGCTTTTGATGACTAGCCAGCTTGATCTACTGGTTTAGGTTTCATATTTTTTTAAGTTCATATCTTGAGTTTGAATAAATAATGATTTTAATTTTTTAAGTTTTTTTTTATAACCTATGCTATTATATACTAAGCAAAATTTTTTATGACTGGCCAGCTTAGTGTAATGATTCATGTTTTAAATTTTTTTTGACTTTATATCTCAAATTTAAATAAACAATGATAGTAATTTTTTAAGTTTATACAAAGGGGTTTTATAGCCTGTGATGTATTCGTGTTATGGTTTCAGCTATTCATTCCTGTCCTAACTCACAAGTAATTTTTTTCTTTGAGGGAACCTTTGATGTATTAAAAATATTTTTTTTTTTATTAATTGGTGTTAAAAAAATAAAAGTTGATCTTTAATTTATTGATCATTTAATTAAATTTGTTCACTTAACAATGATATTAAATTAAATTAATATTAGATTTCATATTTTTTTTACATATATTTATGATAAAAATGTGTCTTTAACTTATACACTACTAGTATGTGTTAAAAACTCATCTTCTATAAATGGGTAGCCATTCAAGTATGTGTTAAAAAAATCCTTATAAAAATTAAGAGACTAAATATTAAATATGAAGAGAAAGAGAAGAGTTCAATCATGATGTCTTGGCATTTTAAATGTTAGAATCCTTTATAAAATTGTTCAAATATTTTTAATGAATCTTTTTCGCATATTAATTCCTTAAGGTGGCATTTTCAATGCTAGGATGTCCTAGTTTTTCTCAATCCCATGAAGGGAAAAGTAAAAATAATCAAGACATTTTAGTAAGATTGCCTATGAAATTGTTTAAATACCTTTATTGAATCTTCTTTATATATTGATTCATTAAGGGTATTTAAGTTTTTTTATTATTATTCTTGAAATTTTAATTGTCAGATAGTTCTAATTTTTTACAATTCCAAATATGAATATTTTGGTTTAAAATGAAACTTATTTCTATTTACAAAATTTTCCATTTTCTAATTAAAATGAAAATAGAAAACAAGAAAACTCTTCCTCTTGCCAAATACACATCTATCTTTCCATTTATAGTTGTAAAAATTCCCCAATCCCCATAACATAATTCCCATGTGTTCAAAAAACCATTTTGGATTTTTAACCTGATAAGATTCCTATACGGTCCATACTATTGAATTTTGGCACTAGATTTTAGGTTATGTGGTCCAATTGGATTTCAATGGGGAAGCAAGAAAACAATGGCGGGATCATGTGTAATGCCAGTATCCTGTGATGGGCCCATGGGATGTGAACTCTTTTGGACCAGGTTCATGAAGACACTACGAATGCATGAATTTGGAGGTTTAGCTAATTATTTGGGGTTTTTTTTTTTTTTTTGGTAAGCTAGCTAGTTATTTAGTAGTTATATATCACATCCGAATTTTGCACATACATAGATCGTGTGCAACAAATCTCAACTAAAATTATTAACTGACAGCATATTGCTTTCACTGTGTTCTGGCAATTTTTGTTTGAACTGTCAAAGTATTTGAATTATTTTTTATTTATTTCAAGATTAATTCATATGAAACAATATAAAAAATATCTTTTACATTGATTTAATGTATTTAATAAAATTAATTTTTTAAATTATTGATAACATATATTGTTCTTTAGCTTGATGGTTGAATAATATATAGTGTACATTTCATTTGGTAGATGCTGAAGATAAGCCAAACAGAATTAACATTGAAAAGGGCCTTCCAAAAAGAAAAGAAAAGAAAAGAAAACCTCGAAAAGTAAATATATTTGATTTTTTTTTTAGATTTTAAATTGTATAATAAAAGATAATATTTTTTTTTAATTTATACCACTTATATATTATACAATTTAAAATCAACTTTTTTTGTTTTTTAAATATTATTAATTAGCTATTTAGATAATTGACCACTTCAAATCTTTTACGCTGTGGTCTGTTCTAAGCGGGTCAAGATCCTCCACTAAAAAGGAATGTGGCTAGATGCATGCACCAATTGCCTTCAGAGCAAGTGGCTCTGCTCATTATGTATTAAAAAGGCCACTTAAGAACTTACCAGGAAATCTCTCCTCTTCTATTTCTTGACTTGCTTTCGAATTTTTCATCACTACCTGCTTTCCACGGAATCCAAATCCCCTGCTTCATGGAAGTTACTAGAAAGAGAATGAAAAAACCGTTTTTAGACTTGTGGACTAATAATATAAGGTCTTTTGGACAATTAGATTTTATTCTTCACTTGTTTACGTTTTAAATATTGTTTTCAACTTTCAAATTTGTCTGGGCTTGAATATATGAGCTTTTGAACCTTATGAATTATGAAGAAAAACTGCCTACCTGACGCACACAGCCTAACCCAACTAACTATTTGGTAGTTCATCTAAGATAAATCGTCACTCTAGCAATTTTAGGAATGGTTTGGTATAGAAATTTAAGATTTATTCTTTGGACTAATTAAATGAATAAAACTATTTGGATTATAATTTATAAATAACAATAATTATCAATAGTTAGTTAAATATCAAATATTTATTATTTTTCGTTTTTAAATCGCTGCTCCTAAAACCCATTTAACCAAAAATGTTGACAGGTAAGAATGAAGTTTGTTTTTATATTGGGTTATACAATATAAGATAATTTTTTTTAAATTTTTTAATTCATTCCACTAATTTGAATGAATCTTTTATTTTTAATGAAAAAAATTATCATTAAATTATTTAAATTATTAATAATAAGAATAAAATATTAATTTAATGGTTAAAGTAGAGGCAATGGACAACTTTGAATTAATTTACGTTATTCACCCCTGTTTACGGATAGGCAAATAATGCGCCCGCCAAAGCAGAGCCGTCGTTAAGTGAAGAAAATTCTCAAAAACATTCTCACCAATCACCACCGTGCATGGAATCTCGCACTTTCCTCCACCTAAAAACCACTAACAAACCATCTTCAAACACATTATAAAAAATTCAATTGAAAATCCGAGGCACGAAGATTGAGGAACAAATTCAAATTCTTCTCCTCCAATGAAGAACTTTCGTTGCTAAGATTATTAATTCTATGTTCTAAGCGTCGTCATATATGACCCTCTAAGTCTTGGTGTACTTTTAGACCATTGGATATAAATTCAACTTCTATTTTTCATCTGTCACCTCAACCACCAAAAATGGAGCCATCTCAAGGAGAGAGGAATTTAGAGAACAATGGGAGGGGGAAGGGAGAGCCTAGGTACCGCGGAATTCGCCGACGGCCTTGGGGTAAGTTTGCAGCGGAGATACGTGACCCTACAAGGCAAGGGGCACGGTTGTGGCTAGGGACATTCGACACGGCTGAGCAGGCGGCGCGCGCCTATGACCGGGCTGCTTTTTCTTTCCGGGGTCACTTGGCCATCCTCAACTTCCCAAATGAATACCAACATCACAATTCAGGCTTCTCTACTCCGGGTTCTTCTTCTTCTTCCATAGGGAATAGCAGAGGGAACCCCTCGAGACGGAGCGAAGGGGAAGTTATAGAATTTGAGTACTTGGATAATAAGTTGTTGGAAGATCTTCTCGAAACACAGCAGGATAGGAAAGACCACTAGAACAAGATGAAAATGATGCAAGTTTCTTCTATTTGGAAAATTATGTTGAAATATTCGATATGTATTTCTATTTTTTTATTATTACTTAGTGTATTTAAATTTGCAACGTTTCAGAATCTCAATTTGCGATTTAGGCTCTGCTTACTCATGCAAGAGTCAACTAGAAGCCTTGAAATTGGTCAATAAGTACACTAATATGAGATATAATAGTTTGAAAAGAAGCATATGCAATATTTACCTAAAAAAGCACTTGAAAGGTAGTTGAACATGGAAAAAAGTTCAGCCCCCAAAACAGAGGATGTATTGATGCTCAATACAGGGGACGAAGAAGAACCTGTGAAAATATCAAGATTCATTCTTCTTCTTGCTTGTCTTGTCAAAATCAAGAAGGTCCTCTAGTAGCTTATCATCCAAACACTCGAACTCGAAAACTTCTTTTCCTGGTTCTTTTGAAGAAGATGAAGATGATGATGAACAAGGAGGAGAACTGGCATTAGGTTGTATATGTTCATGAGGGAAGTTGAGAATGGCTTTGGCACCCCTCATTGCAAAGGCGGCTCTGTCATAAGCTCGCGCAGCCTCTTCTGCAGTGTCGAAAGTTCCTAGCCAAACACGTGCTCCACGCCTGTTTGAGTCTCGAATCTCAGCTGCAAATTTCCCCCATGGCCGCCTCCTCACACCTCTGTATCGAACACTTGATTCCCTCTCTTCACCGACCTTCTTCTTGTCTTCTTCCATGGTCTTGTTGAATGAGACTGCAAGATTTCCATTTTCATGACTGGTACTTATACATGGTGGAAAGCGCAACCCCCATAATTTCAATGTGCTTTGGTAACAGTCTTTGATGGAGACGGATTTTGAAGCAGACAACTATAGCTGATCAAAGGGGTGATGAATGGGATGCCTATATTAATATTCTTTTCATTTTTAATCCATTTTGTCTTTGAGAATGAATCAGAGGTAGGAGATGGTGTCATTCAGGATGCCTTTCATTGATTTGTTATAATGTTAACTTTGTCAACCAGATTCATTGTTAAACTAATCCTAAGATATTTATGTTAACAATAATCCTCCTCTTGGCATAGCCTAATCGAGGTTAGTGAATGACATAATCACAATTATGTTTGCCTAATTCCATCATCACTGATACATAGCTAGTTACTTACATTAATTTAACTCAGAAACAATAAGATATATGGTAGATTGAGGTTAGATATGGATATGAGAAGGACATTGTACTCAAACTTCAAATATGATAGTTCATTCAAAGGTGAGAACAGATTGGCTTACCTCAACTTTGCAATTAATTTGATATGCTTGTCTTGCTTCTGAAGTTGTTGGTGAGGTCATCTGCGTTGCATTGGCATTGCTTGATCACCATTGTTACACCATCCATCCTTGTGTCACTGCTGCAAGGACCCAGAAAAATGGTATCAAAGAATCTGCAGTATTGCACTTCAAGACATGGCTACTTAGACGAGAGCAATCAATTGTTTAATGGCTATAGGAAAGCTGGACAGCAAGTAACTCATTCACGCTAAGTTGGATAAGCAAGTAATACTGGGATCTGATAAAGTTCTCTATCATATGAAGCTCTACCAAGCATATGAAGAAACTAATAAGAAATAAAAAGCACAATCCATCTATTGGGTCTGTTTGGTGCAACTTCCAAAGTAATTCAGTTTTTTGACACTATTTATATTTCATAAATTAAAATTTTTCTTTTAAAAACTTATATTTTCAAACATTTTTTAACTTTAAAAAATCATAAACAGTAAAAGATCAAAAGTTTTAAATTCAAGATTTTCATAAATTTTTTTTTTACTTACTTTTTCGTATCTCTAAAAACAACGTTTAAAATTTTCTTTCAATAAAATTTTAAAATAAAAATTTAAACTTAACAGAAAAAACAAAAGTTCCAACAAACCGCACCAAACAGGCAATCCAAGAGAGTAGTCACTTTTGCATCATAACACGAAAAACAGGAAAACTTACTGATGTAAAAAGCTTCTTTGCTCAAAGTAAATCATCCAGCATTTTCTCAACAAAGCCAGTATAAATATCAGTTTATAACCACAAAGGTCGCTGATCAGAATCTTTGGATGGGCAACCTAAATTTGATAAAATGATCAATTCATGTGTTACACATTCAGGTATATACCAAAAGCAAGGACAGTAAAAACAGGTCCAAGCACATGTTGGAATCTGTTGAAGTTACAAAAGATAATTGAAGATTTAACCATCAAATAAGCTGACAACAAGATATCATGGTTGTTACCTTTCCTTGTCCAAGTAAAAGTGGTTCTGCTGAAAGTTCAGAAGGGCCCAAAGAAAATGTTAAAAACCAATCTCTGGCCAGAGTGCCGAAGGAGAATACAAATAACAGTAAGCACTCTGCCATAAAAGAAAATTTCTCAAGCGTGTCTCACCAGAAGTACGTATTATGATTTCAGGATCAGGTGACTGCCATATACATATGCTTCTCAATGTCTGTAACTGTTACTGGGTAGTCCCTCTCATCCAGTTTGTTCCCTCCAAGTCTAATTAAACCATAACCTGCTCCATTTACTTCCTATGCTTTAACCTCATCCAATTTTTCTTCACATGCATCCTGGACAGCATGCACAATCTCATTTGTGGAATTGTAGGCAATACAGATTGACAGAACTGCTTTGGAATTCTTTGCAGTGGCAAGCATAGCCCTCTCAGCTGCCAATCTGATCGGTTCTTTCGAGAGTTTGAGGTTCCCTATGAAGTAGACTCTAACACCATAGCGATTGACAATGCTCTCTTCCTTAACAAAGCCTTCAATCTTCTCTTGCAACAAATCCATTAGAGATTGAACTTCTTCAGGATCTCTTTTAAAATTGTCAATGCTGAAGGCATAAATGGTTACATATCTCACCCCCAACTCATAGCAATACTGAAGCATGGACATAAGAGCTGAGAATCCAGCTCTATGGCCAGCTCCTTCCATCAAATTCAGCTTCTTGGCATATCTCCGATTCCCATTCATGATGCATGCAATGTGATTAGGCACAGGACCTACAGAAAGAATATTAAAAATAAATTTCCGTAAGAAAGTAATAAAGCCACTCAGGATCTGACTTATTATGCCATTGCCTCTTTCCATCCCAAACCCTATTTAATCGTTAAATCTGTAAGCCAAGACAACCTGCTAAAAATAGGGATAAAAACGACTTAAGCTTCAGTTCATACTATAAAACATGCAAGGAACTTCACAATTTGGAAAACAAATAAGATGAAACCCAACAATCAGATTTGACCTGAATAGTAGTTGCATAGTTGAATTGAAGTTAATAGATTAGATGAACTGCTTAAAATCATTCTAACATTCTAGTTGATCAACCTTATTGATTAATATTCCAATCAATATTGCATTGCTAATCATTCTAGTTGGAAGAAAAAAAAAAAATTTTATCCCCATGAACGAGTATCTGTGGTTGGGGAAGAATACCACGGCATTCTATCAACCACAGCATCATGTTAACAAACCTTATTCATTGACAACGACCAAGAACTAAAATCTTATTTTTTTCAAACAATGAAGGAAATGGCTGGAATTTTTTTTTTTTTTTGGTACATTAAAAAGTTAACTGCGTAACGATATAGAAGTTTGAACTTTTGACCTTGACTCCAAATTAAGGTTTTTAAGTTAATATGTACTAACTCAACCAAGCTCTTGTTAGTAAGAAAATGGCTGGAATTAATTGCATGCAAACTCAAACTATTTGAGTCCCAAATCCATGTAATAAGGAAAACATTATTTGGCACGGAACTAGCAATGGAATAAGAATAAGCATGGTAAACACACACCAGAATCAACATCAATAACATCATGCATAACATTGAACAAGAGGTCACATACTAGGTTAACCATGCCAACCTTCACATTGCATTAGTTCAATTAGAAGCAAAACAATGTCCATCCCCATCCCACCGTATTTAGATAAGAACAAATGAATTATCATATAAGTGTGCTTGGAAGCAACAACACAAGGAATGCAAACACAATATTGTATAACAAACCTATTACTTAGCATATCGCCTTGACTGACTAGAAACGCAATATGGGGCAAGCCAAAAAACCCCAACGAAAACTATAAAGAAACAAACTTTCTTGGACCTACAGGACGCCTAATCATAATAAATAGCATGCTAAGAATTAAAAAAACAGCACCAACACAAGTAAACAATGCCTAAAATTTAGATAAAAAACAACCATTTTTCCTCCAGAAACTATGTGATCCACTAAATAATGAATTACTTGAAAACCCAAAAATTAAATCCTGAGACATCCATAAAAGGGCATTTCCTGAGTCAAATATAATCCCCAGAACAACCTTAAATATACATCAGATTCAACATTT